AAACTGTCTTATATCAATTAGGATTTTAGGCTTGGTATTTACTACTGACCCAGAATACCCCGACACATAAAAATTCATAATTTTCCCAAAGCCTGCATTTGAATCACACTTTCTGGGAGTTATGCACCTGCTTCCCTACAGCCTCTTGTTCCCTGCCATATAATCAGTCGCCATAAAGAAGTATACAAGCTACAGTGTTTTTCACAAATTTGAGATGTTCTAGCAACATAATATCCTGGGTCCAACATATTGCACTAAATCATGGTCCTTCTCATCAGTAAATGTTCTAGGTGTCAGGACACAGCCTAGGCATCTTAATCTTCTCCTATGTCAGAATGAATTTGCTGCCTTTCGCCACTGTTGGAGAATTTAGAATATGACTTGTCACACATTTTTTACAAGAATCAAATTCCTGAGGCTAAATTGTAAGTCCTCCTGTCCTAATTTTTTTTTTTATCCTCATCCGAAGATATTTTTCCATTTTTTGTTCAGATAGAGAGGGAAGGAGAGGGAGGGGGAGAGAGGAAGAGAGAGAGAGAGAAACATCGATGTGAAAGGGACACAATGAATGGCTGCCACCCACACCACCCAACCAGGGCCAGAGACAAACTGCAACCGAGGTACATGCCCTTAGCAAGAACCAAACCCAAGTCTCTCTGGACCACAGGCCAATCTCTAACCTCTGAACCAAACCAGCTAGGGCCCTCCTATCCTAATTTTTTTTTTTGTCTTAATAAAAACTTAAGTTCAGATACTCTGCTTTAGTTTTCGTTTAGCTGTTCTCTGGCATCTGTTCTTCCTTTGCTTGTTAATAGTGTAACCTCCCCTCCTCTACACAGCTTATGGGTGTTTAGGGATGCTCTAGGGCTGGGGCTTGTGGTTTAGGTTTGAGGTAATTAGCGCAATTTTATCACCTGGCCACAAATTATTCAGGGATGAAGTGAGTACTTACTGAGATTGGTTGAGTGATAGAAATGCCCTGTACATTACTGAGAGCTGTGAAGAGTCCATTCTCCCCACTGAATATGAACCTGCAAGGATGAAACTCTAGAAGTTTTAGGAAACCAAGTTGAGATGAAGAGGACGGAACCAGTCTGAGAATGAAGTCATCCCAGAGGAAGCAGAACTGGGAGATTGATCTTTATTGATTACTTAGCCCTTGATCCAATCATACCTAAAGCTAGATATACTATAGAAGTGTTGTTAGGTGAACCACAAAATTTTCTCTAGTTTGGATTAGATTTCTTGTCACTTGTGAAAAAAATATTCCTAACTAATAAGCTTTTCCTGACATAGCAAAATTCTACTGGCAGCTACATAGATTAAACCCACCCTTTGGGACATTCATTACACAAATACAAAAGTATAATTAAACCAATTTGTCTATTAAAAATGCGCAACAATTATTCATATACACCATATAACACACTAAATGATACAAAGCTTATTTACTGTGGCAAGACAATGAGAAGGCTGGACTTTCAAAGCCCTTCAAATCACATTTACCTCTTTGCCTGTAAGATGAAACTCAACAATTGGTCAACAAAGCCAAGCTGAGGTTCAGGATGTAACCAGAGTTCAGAATATAACTGAAAATCAGTTATCCAAAGTTTTTGCCTTTAGTAGTCTTCAAAATCAACCATCTGATAAAAATATTTGCAAAAAATGTTCTGTGCCTAAAAACAAGAGAATGTCTGTGTGCTGATCTGGGTGAGTGTCAAGCAAGATGAGAAGCTTTAGGATTCAAGGAATCTCACAGAGACCATCCCAGCCTCCTAGAAACTCTCCATCATACCCTTATGTGCTCACAGAATTCTTCCCGTTGCCCAAAGAACTGACACTATATCATCTCTCTTCTCTTTCTCTCCCCATCCCTCCCTCTCTCCCACCCTTCCTCTCTTCCCTTCCTTCTCCTCCTCTCCCTCTTATCCTTTTTTCTTCCTTTTCTTCATTTTATTTTCCTCTCTACAATTCTATCCTGTGGTGTAAACCATCTATATTCCACCCTTCATATTTCAAAGTCTTCCTAATCCTCAATTTTCTCAGATTTCCCCAAGAATAGAGTATTCTTCATTTAGTAACTCGCTGAACTGGAAAGACCTGTAGCTGCTTCTACTCTGCCATTTTCACTGACACTCACAGTTCCCTCCTTCCTGATGTCTTGGCCTTGTGGCCTGATGAATATTTTGGGATCCAGTGATAAGAATCATGAATTTTTCAGCACACATTTGGTTAAAGCCACTGTTGTTGTTGTCTGGGCTTTTACCACAGCACTGACCTTAAAGGCATTCACATTCCCTCAATATTGGATCTGTACAAAAATCCTATTAACGGTTTCTTAATTAAGCTCTGGAACATAATTAACATTCTTTGGGATAAACATTTGAATTGTGCTGTCCTCTCCTTGGAGAAAATAAATTACAGATCTTTCTGATTATAAAGCGAAGAAGAAAAAGGAAAAAATTCATTTGTGGACAAATGCTCTTATGAAATGCTTTGTGGAGGCAACTGGGAACCAGGAAAGGAAGAGGGACCCATGCATCTTTCAAATCCTGGTTAAATATCTCATTCTAAAACTCACTGTCTTAATGTTAGAAATGAGAGAGAGAGAGCAAGAGAGGAGGAGGAGAAAAGTGATCTTTCCCTCTGAGATAGGGAGGCTTAGAAATTACATGTACATTTTGGGGGTCAGAAATGGCTTTTCGCTCTAGCTGGGAAAAAAATCCGAATAATTTCCCTAATTCAGGAAAGGATACTTATTAACACTGCTCATTTTGATATAAATTAATCCAATAAATAATTTGTTGGTTCCACTGTAAAATTCCTCAAGCAAAATAGTCTGTGTGTATACATATATATGAAATACATACACACCCTCACCACACAAACCCACATCAATTACTCTCAAAGTCATTTGGTCACCAGAATATCTCCCTTTCATCATCTATTTTCCATCCCTAAACGTCTCTTCTGGGTAAATGAACCTTCAAACCAGCTGATACTTGATTAAATGTTGACCCTCTGTGTTTTTTTTGGAAGCTGAACATTATTGACATAGTTAAAAACAATCCCACTTCCCAGATTTCCCTACTAAATCACCACATGCATAAGTAATGTAAGTGGATTACAGGAAATATTAGCATTAGCAATTGTTGCAAACTATCAAAGCCACAGAATGGTTAGAGACTAGATCAAGAGAGGTTAAGGAAGGATAATGCAGTGAAATTGCCTATTGCATCTTTGTAATCATCACGCAAAAGAAAAAGCACAGCTTTTTCATGAATCTCCAAACCACAAATAAGCTAAAAGTGAAATGACATGCCAGAATTCCTCATTGATGCCTTTTACCCTTCATAGTAGTAAATTAACTAGACAGTGCATGACATTATAAGATAGAACAAACCTCCTGAACTGTAATTTACAGTGACTTTAAGAGTTCATGACTACAGGTATATGACGGTTCCTAGAGAAAATATCTCCGATGAGCCTCAGCATTATCACAGGCATAGCCAAACACAGCGACATCATTAGCATCACTTATCTGCACCAAATACATAGCTTTCACCTTCAGAACATCTGTTACTCACGTAAATGCCAAAAATTTGTTCAAGTATTTCAAGAGGCAAATGACCCACAGATTTTCTTTTAACAAGAGCTCATCTTGTGTCCTCAATTTATGATTTTTATTGAATTGCTGACATTTCCCCCCAGACATTTCTCAAGTAAAATCAGACTCCATTTCATTTGTCTCTATTTCTAGATACCCAAAATAAAGACTGAGTCATAGTGAATATTCAATGTATGCTAGATGAAAACATCAGTAAATGGATCTTTAATTCTTAATACCAGGTATTGTCCTATATGTAGCAGATAAAAAATTGCAAAGAAAAGCTTATTAAATTTCATTAGCTTTGGTGCATAGAGAGGTTGCCAAAATGCAAACATGGCTTCATTGAATTACTGTGGCCATAAAAGTTAACATATCCTATTATATTTTGGAGGAGAAATATAATAACAATAATTTAGCTACTGATTTGTAGGTGTCTTTTTCTTAACATTAAAAAAATTTTTTTTGACAGACAGGAAGGGAGAAAGAGATAGAAACATCCATGTGAGAAACATCAATCGGCTGCCTCCTGCATACTCCCTACTGGGGATCAAGTCTACAACCCCAGGATGTGCCCTGACCGGGAATCAAACCTTGACCTCTTAGTCCAAGAGATGACACTCAATCCACTGAGCCTCACTGGCTGGGCCTGCTTTGTAGTTTTAATGTGGAGCCTCCTATAGTAATTTTAAACTTGAATGGAACAATAGTCTAAATAGTGTATCAATCTCAGCATGTATTTAAACTATAATACCAAAAAAACTAGGAACCTCTGGCCTGGGTTGCACACCCTAATACAAGCAATGGGACCACTGTACCCTCTTGACTAATAAAGAGCAATGTTTGTTCAGTGATAGAAATATTATCCATCAATTATTCCCAAGCCATCTTATTGACAGAAAACCACCAATAACAGAAAACCACCTTCCACCTCTTCCCTTTCAGTGGACTCTTCATTTCTTAACTATTTGAGTCAATTGATTAGAAGGTCTTTAATAAGTATTTATTTATATAAACTTCATTTAAGGCATATCTGCTTAGAAGATATATCACAGAAAGCAGGAGGATCAGTGCAGAATATGATCTGCTATACTTGTAAGGTCTTCCTAAAGCAAATTTAATTCAAATATTTATTAAGCACCTACTATGCACAGTGTACTGTATTGTGCACGGAGAATACAGACAAGGTTTCTTATTTCATGGGCTCATCATATCCAAGAGGAAGCCCAAAGCCAATAATCAAGTAACAAAAAACAAATATTAGAGAATGAGAAGTACTGTGGTAAAAAAATCATTGAGATCCAAAGATACCTATTCATCATTAGTTGCTCTTTTAAAACATCAATCACAGAGGAGAGTACCAGTGTAAACATCAGTTAAGTGCAATACTTACCACCACAATTACACTTGCTGCAGGGACTGGAAGGTTTTCCACTTCAATATCTTGACCAGCCATGGCCAAAAGATTGAGAGATGGGTCATACGCAGGTCTAAGAAATGCTGAATTAACAATTTGGTGGGTTTTGCTTATTTGAGCTTCAGAAGAGGAATGTTTATATATCTTTTGCGGAGCTATATCCAGACTCTTCTCAATGTCTTGTGAATGGTGATACAGGAATGCTGGCTTCCCGCTCTTCTTATGAATTGCCAAAAAGTGATCATTATTTCCCGAAAAGCACCCTGAGAGGAGGAAGAAACAGAAACAAAATCAAAGACCTTATTTGGTAAGATGAATAGAAATATCTGATATTGAGAGTTGTTTGTTCTAAGAGGCTTTAAGACTTGGGAAGGACTTAGATAAATCTCCATTTTTTCCCTACTTCACTATCCCCAACAAATAGAACACACTTGGTGGTATGGAGGCATCTCAGAAACTCTGGGTGGGCAGAAGTGGGCATAGTTTGGAAAAGTCTTATTTATCAGATATTTCAATACCTCTTTTAGCCAGGAATTTCCTCCATTAGCTAAACCCACAATTCCAACACCCCGTTGTACTTCTATTCCTGGCTGTCCTACCTGTTCCTCAAATGACAATAATTTATATCATATTCAAGCTTTCCTCCCTTTAATCAATAGCATTTCATATAATTTGATAACTCATATATCATATTTATTTTATCCTGATTATATTATATTTAAGCACACACACACATACTGCTTCTAGAGTATTTTAAGCTCATTGAGGGCAGAAACCTGCATACACTCATTGGGGTAGCAACTTCCAGTTATGCAACAATATCCATTCTCTCCTTCTTATTTAGTAATATGGCCATCCAGATAAAGTAGTACATTCACACTTATTTCTTCTATTAGATAAATATCCATTAAATTGAATGACTCTTTCTTCTACTTGTCATTGGCCACAGGAGAAAATAGAAAACATATACATATTAGTCAAAAATTATCACTAATTCAAACACCAGTTAGAAAAACAAATGTAAGATCTTTTACATAAAATGATAACCAGGGTGAATAGATCACAATGTATTAATGGCCCTAACATAGTACCTAGTAACTATAGGGACCCCAGGTTTTCCCTTGATATGCCTTTGGCAACAAAAAGTGTACAAATACTATTCATAGAAAATTACTCTCCTGGCAGAATCTGGGACAGACTGAGTTGTGTGGCTCTAAGACAGGGATAATTTTTCCTTTGCACGCCCAACTGGAGCAGAGCCCTCCCTTCACAAGGCTAAATGTTGGTCTGTTCGGGCCTGATAAACTCTGCTGTCATCACCCTGATGACTTCCTGAGACCCTGCCCCAACACAAAAGTGTGCGAGCACCTAGTAGGTGGCAGCTAAACTTGGTATACCTGGGATATATGCTGAGTAGTCTCAGACCCAGCACTGGCATTGAGTTTGAACCTGAATCAATCTGGTGAACACCACTTGCCCCTACCTGGTGACTCACTGTGAACCTAACTCATGCAATTTGAATGCTGCCAGAGGCTCATTCAATGACTTAGTCTAACAGGCAGTCAATAGGTGGAGACAAATGGAGGTGGGTCTTGGGGTGACTCAGTACTTTTGCTGACCTGCCTCTGGGCCCAGTGCTGGTGAAAGTTGGCCTTTGTGAACAGCTTGGTTGCTCCTGCACATACCCAGACCCAGCAGAGGAAGCCACAAGTTGTGGATCACTTTGTAGTTCTGAACAGGTTGCCCAGGGCCAGTCATAGGCTGTGTCTGACATTGGCCTGCACCATAGTCCCTCTATAGAGGCCCCAAAGCAACACACCCAGTGGCCAGCTTCAGACAACATCAGAGCAAAATACAATAAGCTTCACAAGTGGCATACCCAAAGCGATATCTCGGCAGGCACCAGACACTGCTGAGGAGAGTTCTACTTCGTGTGGTCAACACCTGCATAGCAGCTCACATGCCATGGTTGGGATTGAGCCTCACAGTCAGCCAGCCTAAGGGTCAATCCCACACATAAAATGGCAATAGCAATCAAAGCTCAATTACAAAAAGAGGGCCCACATAACCCACACAAGGGACATTCCTGAAGCACCCAGCTCAAGTGATCAGGAGACTGTACCACTAGACCCTACAGGACACCTACTACATAAGTCCACCTACCAAGACTGGGAGGAGAGTCATAGCAGATCTATCCAATATATACAAACAAACACAAAGTAGGCAGCCAAAATGGAGAGACAGAGATACATGCCCCAAATGAAATAACAGGTGTAACTTCCAGAAAAAGAGCTAAATAAAATGGAGGAAAGAAATTTATCAGATATAGATTTCAAAATAATGGTTGTAATGATGATCAACCGCATGAAAATGGACACAGAAACCATAAAAAAGGACCAGTCAGAAATGAATACAATATCTGATATGAAGAATACACTGGAAAGAATAAATAGTAGGTTGGATGAAGCAGAGGATCAAATCAGCATTTTGGAAGACAAAGTTAAAAACAACAACACCCAATCAGAGCAGCAAAAAGAAAAAGAATAAAAATAAGGATAGTTTAACAGACCTTTGGGACAAGATGAAGCCTAATAACATCTGCATCATAGCAGTATCAGAAGCAGAAGAGAGAGAGAAAGGGGTCAACAATCTACTTGAAGAAATAATGACAGAAAACTTCCTTAACCTGTTAAAGGAAAAAGATACACAAACAAGCCCAGGAAACAGAGAGTCCCAAACAAGATGAACCCAAAGAGGCCTATTTCAAGATAGATACATAATATTTAAAATTCAAAAGGTTAAAGAAAAGAGAGAATCTTAAAGGCAGCAAGAGAACAATAGTTAGTTAACTACAAGGCAGCTCAAATAAAACTGTCAGCTGATTTCTCAATAGAAACATTTCAAGCCAGATAGAACTGCCATGAAATATTCAAAGTGATGAAAAGAAAGGACCTATAACCAAGACTACTTTACCCAGCAAAGCAAGCATTTAAAATTGAAGGAAAAATAAACAGTTTTCCACACAAGAAAAAGCTAAAGGAGTTTGTTATCACAAAACCAGTATTACAAGAAATGTTAGAGGGCCTGCTTTAAGAAGAAGAAAAGAACACCACAGTTAAAAGAATAAAATGGTAATAAATATGTACCTATCAATAATCACTTTAAATATAAATGGCTTAAATGTTCCAATCAAAAGACATAGGGTAGCTAAATGGATAAGAAAACAAGACCCATATATATGTTGATTACAAGAGGTCCTCCTCAGACTAAAAGATACACAAAGACCAAAAATAAAGGGATAGAAAAGATAGTTGATGCAAATGAAAATGAATAAAAAGCTGGTGTAGCAATACTTATATCTGACAAAACGGACTTCAAAACAAATGCCATAAGTAGAGACAAACCTGGACACTATATAATGATAAAAGGAGTAATTCAAAAGAGAATGTAACCCTTGTAAACATTTATGCACCCAACATAAAAGCACCTAAATATGTAAAGCAAACCTTGATGGACACAGGGTAGGAAAACCTTTCTTCTGTCAAGGGCTATTTGGATATTTATAACATCTTTCATGGGTCATACAAAACTATCAACTTAAAAATTAGCTTGTTATAGCTAATTAGCCAACTGGCCATTGTTTATCATGGTTAATCAGTTCCAGACTCTACCATGATAAATAAATTTCCATGAAGTAGGATTCTTTATTTATACACAGTCGTCCTTTGTCACTTCACACTTTGACTTTTGTGGCTTCACTCTATCGTGGTTTTTTCAAATACTATATTACTATATTTAAAAAAAACACGATAGAGTGAAGCTGCGAAAGCTGAAGTGTGAGGTGGCGAGGGATGACTGTATTTGGTCTGGCTAATTTGGTGAGACGTGTGATGTTAGCTGGTATTGATTGTGTAGGCCTTACATGGCCCGTGGGCCAGACACTCCCCACCCATGAGAGAGAGAGCAACTGTAATAGAGTTACAGTAGAGAATTTTAACACCTTATTGACATCAGTGGATAGACCTTCCAGACAAAAAATCAACAAGGAAACAGTAGCCTTAATTAACACACTAGAACAGATAGATTTAATTGGATTTTCAGAGCATTTCACCCCAAAGCAGCAGAATATTCATTTTTTTTTCAAGTGCGCATTGAAAATTTAAAGGATAGACCACATGTTAGGAGATAAAACATGTCTCAATAAATTTAAGAAGATTAAAATGATATCAAGTATCTTCTCTGACCATAATGGTATGAAACAAAAAGTCAATCACAGGAAAAGACAAAAAAGCATACAAAAATACTAAGGCTAAATACAAGTAACTAAATTGTGAATGGCTTAAAAATAAGATCAAGGAAGAAATCAAAAGATACCTTGAAACAAATGAAAATGAGAACATAACAACACAAAATCTATGAGACACAGCAAAAGTAGTCCTAAGAGGAAAATTCATAGCATTAAGACCTATCTTAAGAAAAAAGACAAGTATCAAACAATCTAAATTTTCACCTAAATAAATTTTTAAAAGAACAAAAAATAAAGCCCAAAATGAGTAGAAGAACAATAATAATAAAGACCAGAGCAGAAACAAATGACATAGAGATTGAAAAACAAAACAAAACAAAAAAAAATCAATGAAACCAAAAGTTAGCTCTTTGAAAAGATAAACAAGATTAGCAAACCTTTAACCAGACTCATCAAGAACAAACAAAGAGATAAAATCAGAAATAAAAGAGAATTAACAACTGACACCAAAGAAGTACAAAGAATTGTATGAAAATATTATGAACAAATATATGCCAACAAATTGGATAATATGGACCAAATGGATAAATTTCTGAAAACATGTGATCTTCCAAAATTGATTCAGAAAGAATCAGAGAACCTGAATAGTCAGAATACAACTAGTAAAATTGAAGTAATGTTAAACAAAACTGCCAACAAATAGAAGTCCTGGACCAGATGGCTTCACAGGTAAATTTTATCAAACATTCAAAGAACTAACACCTATCCTTCTCAAACAATTCCAAAAATTCAAAGGGAAGGAAGACTCCCAAGCTCATCTTATGAGTCTAGCATTATCCTAATTCCAAAACCAGATAAAGACACTACAAAGAAAGAAAAGTATAGGCCAATAGCCCTGATGAGCATAGACACTAAAATCCTCAACAAAATATTAGCAAATCAGATCCAGCAAGACATTAAAAAGATCATACACCATGATCAAGTGGGATTTGTTCCAGGGATAAAAGGTTG